AAAAAAAAAAAAAAAAAAAAAAAAAGGAAAAAGAAAAGGAAAAGGAGACGTCACAAGTCTGGGAAACCTTTACCGACTATCTTCAAAAAATACCGAGAAAGAGTTAAAATAACTGTTTTAGCCAGACATCAGTCTAATAATATAAATAACTTGTATAGTAATAAATGTATATTTTTACATTATACATTTGCATTATATGGTAGAGTGGGGGGAAACGTCCCCCTTAAGGACTGCGTAATTTTTTTTCCTGTGAAACAAAAGTTAAATGTGTTCAGAACAGTTATCATAGTGAAAGGAAAAGGAGACGTCACAAGTCTGGGAAACCTTTACCGACTATCTTCAAAAAATACCGAGAAAGAGTTAAAATAACTGTTTTAGCCAGACATCAGTCTAATAATATAAATAACTTGTATAGTAATAAATGTATATTTTTACATTATACATTTGCATTATATGGTAGAGTGGGGGGAAACGTCCCCCTTAAGGACTGTGTAATTTTTTTTTCTGTGAAACAAAAGTTAAATGTGTTCAGAACAGTTATCATAGTGTTTTCATGTTGTTAGATTTTTAACAAAAATAAAATTTAACCAAGGGGGTGTTTTACGCCACCTATGGGGCAAAACTCCCCTATGGGTGGGGTAAAATGCCCCCCAGTCTGACAAAAACAATTTGCTTTAAAATAAATTATAAACAAAGTATGAAATATGTCCAGAGTTTTCATGTTATTCGATTTTTAACAAAAATTTAATTTGTACCAAGGTGGCATTTTATCCCACATGGTGCAAAACACCCCCACGGGTGGGGTAAAATGCCCCCCAGTCTGACAAAGCAATTTCCTTTAAACATTTACAGCAAAATCAGAGTACAGACAGTTTTTGCTTAAAATGAAAAAGAATAATCAATAATTATGAATTACAAATTTACAACAGCATATTTGAAACATTTTGTTAGCTAATGCTAACTGGCTAGCTAACTAGCTGATGCTAACTTGAGGTAATTTTTAAATGTAAAATCCAAATATTTTTATTCAAAGTTAGAATACATTTGATGGAAAACAAAGGATTCGATGTTCAGAACAGAATAACTACAGTAGGCTAATTGCTCTTGCCCCCTGGGGGCGTTTTACCCCACAGACTGTTTGAAAAAAAAAAAATGATGTCTTTGAGATTGCAGCGATACATGACATGGTGAAAAATGACTGAATGAATAATAGGCTACTTAAAGTAGGTTAAGATGAATTTTAAAATCCGCCCGTTACAGTGTTACTAACTGTGAAAATGCACCATCACAGTCTCTACCCTACAGAGGAAATCTGTATGTTTCATAATCTCCTATTTGCATACATAACTCTGCCTTGATTGACAAGCCCATGTGCGTATTCTGCTCAT